TCTGCCTCTCTCTGTCCCTCACTTTCTCTGTCACATGGCAAAGCTCAGCACCAATTAGTCCCAGGTGGAGCGCAATTTGAATGGAAATTGAATTAAACTGCAGCACAATTTTGTTCTGCAGCGCTATTTAGTTAAGTTAAAACAAAACTAACTGCATATAACACTTTTGGATTAAGAAAAAATTAGATGGGCTAACTTTCATAGAAATCGGTCACATAATGTCTGAGTTTACCACTCTTATATACACCAACATCCATTTTTATATGTACAGAAATCAAGAATGTTTTACCACAAATTAATAGATATCAATTATGCAAATTTGTACTTTACACTCTCTCACTATTACAAACTTTTCTGAAATATTTTCCTTTGAGTAGAACTTGTTTTTGCATTTTAATGGCACAAGGTGCTTAAATGCAAATAATTGAAGAAGTAAAGTAATGGAGGAACAGTGTCCTAAAATTGAAAATATTATATAGCTCTCTTGCTCCTCACTATAAGACACTCACCATGTAGCAAGCACAGTGCCTTTTCCATTTTACTAAAGTTTATCAACCACTCTTTGTCATTTCAATTATTGAAAATTGTAGGAAACAGACTAACCAGAGGCAAAAGCAAATTTAGTTCCAACTGTTGTCTTTGCAAAAATTTCCAATGAATTATAATATCTTATGAAAGCAAGGTTAAGCTTATTCAGGAAACTAAAAGTAATAATCCTAAACACAAATTGAAGTGTATCACTCACAATCTTAACCAAGGCCATCTTATCCTACGCACTAATTGTACTGCATCACAAGGACTTGCAACAAGCCTGGAGTCTCATTTTCATTCAAATTCAGTAGGCAAAACATATTTATTCTAAATAATAAATGAATAGTTTATTAAAAGTTCATTTTAAAATTATTTATCTCATATTTCACATATTTCATCAATTGTTAAATAAAAATTCATTGAATTATAATATTATAATTACCAGTTTAAACCTACAAACATTGTGCTGCAATTTGTAATTGTGTTGCAATTTGTTATTTTATAATTAAAAGAGCTTTTTACTGGAATCTGAATTCAAAGTACTATGCTTTGAACTGTATGTAAAATCATACAAGCTTTTCAAAATGTTCATGGGAAGAGGGGAAAATAGCTGCCCTGACACACACAATGTCACCCATGTGCATGTCTATGCCCAAAATTAAAATATATTTTTCAAATTTTCAGTTTGAAAGTTGAGCCAGATAAAAGAGAGAATATTCATTTTTAAAAACAAAACATCCTGTGTGCAGTTTAAGTGCCAGTCAAAGGCAGACATTTTCTCAAAAAAACACTTTTTTCGGTATACCAACATACCAACATTCTGTTATCGTGACCTTGATGATAACTTGTTGGGATGGCACTACGTGGTTGGATGGAAAAATTTAAATACTTATTGTTCACAATGCAATTTGTTATTGTGTTTCACCCTTATCAGACCTAGAAATATTAGATAATAGAATTATACATATAATTGCTAACAAAAATAAACAGAAAAAGCAAGCCATACACTTCACAAAAAACAAAAGAATTCTCTTACTGCATGTTAATATGTATTAAATTATTACAACAACATCTATACAGGTAAGTTGCAAGAGGTTGATTGTTTAATATTATCATTAGAATTATTATTAAGTTGCGTGTTTGTGAAGTGCATTTATTTATTATTTTTTTTTTTAGTGTTTTTGATGATATATAGTATATGTGTACATAGATAGATATAGATAGATATTTCATGCTATGGCGTAATATACTTAGCCTTGATGAAAGCAAAATACAACATAGAAACAACAGCTTGAACTACTTAATTTTAATTTTTCTGTCTACATTACCTACTGACAAGAAATTATATCAACATTATTCATTAAATCACAAAAAACAATTGAAACTAAAATGATCCCTTCAGCTACTACTAATGTAGCCTACCCAGCATTAAGACTACAAATTAGGTAGTACACAATTGTAAGTATTAGAAACACTTAAACTTTACAGGAGGTTCATAAGATATAATTAATCTTGTATATAACCAGAAGAGAAATACATAAATTGCTTTTGCAAATGCAAGAAAATGATGATGCCTACAGAAATAATTGTTATACACAATTCAAGATTAATGCTACCAAGTGAAAATTTTGTTATATTTTTCAATAATCAAATGCTAATAAAAATTGATAAATTTTTCCACCTATATAATTCTTCAGAAATAAAATATATTCTTAATTAAGAAATACCTAATACCTTTTTAATTTAAATTTTTATATTTGTGACAAAGAGGTGAAACATGATTTTGTTCATGAAGACAATTTTTGTTTCTGGTGTAATGGGGGGATAATGTATTTTTCACTTATATCACAAGTTGTGGTTGTAAGAATGAAATTCTAAAATTTTGATCAAAATATGTATTCATGAAAGTTAATCACTGAAATAAAAATAACATTTTTGCAAATCTCTTTTCAAATATAACATTTCTTAAAATTGTTACTAAATTACTGTTTAAAAGTACAATCTCTAGGTTACATTTTGATGTATCATTATTAATTTTTGCACAAGGAAAATTAAACAATCAGAGGAAAAAAACAATCTTGCAATGTAAAAGCAGTAGTGCCATAACAATCTCAGACTGAAGGATCACAGGTTCGCAACCTGCCTCAAGCATGACTGTATTCATCCTTTCCTCACTATATCACCATATCATATCATATTCACAGTTACCACCGTTTCATGCAATAGTGGTCGCTTATAACCTAGATGTTGCGAACTTAAATAACAAAGAGATACTGTAATTACATCAGCATGTTCCACACAGGTTACATGGCAAAATGACTGATTAACTATAACTTTCCATTTTAGACACATACGGAACTACAGAAATATCAAGGACTATTACAAAGATCAGCAAAAATAATGAAAACCTGAAAAAGAAAATTGTTAATATCACTCCACTATTCTTGTACCCATGAACAGCAGAGAGAAGCTAAAATGTGAGCCTACTCAGTTTGAATTCAAAAGAAAAAATCTAACGATTTTTAAATCTATTAAATTGAAACTTAAAAAAGACAACTTATTCATTTCTCTATATTTTTCAGAGTACCACATGGTCTTCTTTCACAGAGTACTACAGCCCTCTCTATTAAAATATGCTTGCTGTTTACGGTTGCTACCTTCTAGAAGCCTGTCACCCAAAGGCTTTTCCATTGGGGTGTCATAAAAATTAAGTTGCAATGAATATTTTATTTTTAAATTATACTGTTAAATATATCTTCTATGAAATAATACAGATTTTTTATATTATTATTTTTGCATTATATTAATAAATTTTTACTTAACGACAATGCCTATCTTCTAAACCATAGGATCTAGGAAAAAAATATATGAATTTGTATTTTTGAGTTGTACACATTCATGGCACGAAATATGAATACTATAGTAATCCTGAACAGAAAAAAATCATTAGACTTGTATGCTCAAATTGCATCAAGACAACTATCAACAAGCATTGTTTTTTGTTTGTTTTTAATTTGAAATTTTATATATTGAAATTATTATTTGTTGTAATATTTTTCATGAAGGAGAAAGAATTTTATTGTGAAAAAGAGGTTATTTTTTCTTCATGGATTGCCTTCATGTACCTAAGACAAATACAGTTACCATGCACATTACACTAAATGCTAAATGCACACTACTGCTAAATAATTCCAGATATTTTTCACAATGAATTTAATAGCTCATCTAACTTTGGGAAAATAATTCATTGCTTCACTGCATTCTACAATCAATTGTCAATGGTATTTTTGAGATACACATAAGACTCTTTATGATGCAAAAAGAAAATACAATAAGCAGTAACTAGTGAATTCATAATTATTGTGATCTTATCACTTTTAAAACTGATAAAATCACAATAATTACCCATCTTTCCAAAAGGTTAATCAAATTTCATTTTTCTCATGCTTCAGAGTAGAAGTGAATTCTTCACGCTTCTCACTTGCAGAAAAGTTAAATGCTTGAAGTAAATATGTTCTCTCTCACGAAATTGATAGTCAAATTGTGTAAGGCAATGAGAACATGTCAACAAAGATTAGCCTAATGATCAATCATTTATTCTTTATGTTTATTTGTTTACTTGTGAGCTTCAAGATTTGTTCAAAAAGTACTACTTGTACTTTGTATGTTTTTACAATATTTTATTTCCCCATGGAATTTATCTCTTCAAATAATATTAATGACACTTTTTTTTCTATTGACAAATGTTTATATTTGACAATATTCATTACCTAGAATTCCTTCTCTTACAAGTAAGAAAGAAAACACCAATTAGGATCACAGAATAAAAACAATCATGAGCATTTCATTTAAATCCCATTGTTCAATTGAATCTTTATTCAATTCACCTCTTCAAAAGAAGATACCTGCAACAATTATTCTACTCCCCTTACAATATAATTTGATAATTGAATTAACATGATTTTCAGAGACATTGTATTTCAAGGAAAATATTCCACACTGACTAAAATACCAAAAGAATTCTCAGGAAAATTGTGATATGGTCTTGCAATATATAATATTTCATCTCACTTTTTTTAAAACAATTCAAGTAATACTTTACTTAACCTGACAATAAATTAGCTTGTAAATAGAACAATTCATGGAAATACACATTGAAAATCATGAATTTTCTACCTAGAAAGGTGAAAAATACCAATTTTAATTCAATTTAATACCAATATTTCTATGAATCAAATAAGACTCAAAACATTTTAAATGCACTAGATGGAGTTGTTTTAAAAGTCATCTATCCACATGGATTTCCTAAACATTTCTGTAGTAACCCGAGTATATTCAAGGAAAACCTAAATTAGCATTTTGATTAAAATACAAATAACTGATTTTCCATTACCTGGCGGTTTCTCCTCTCCCCCCCCCCACTGCAGAACTTCAGCAAGTCACCTTTGTTGAATTAAATCCTTAATCCCCCCCCCCCCATCTTCCTACAATTGTATCTGTTTATTTCTACATGGTATAGTAACTAATAGAATGCTGGGAACATTGTAATACACTCGATAGGAATAATTTTTTAAAAGCAAAAAAACTAATGCTCCTGGAGCTCTTTATAGCAACTAATAGGATCAAAGTTAAGAAGTCGTTGAACATAATGTTATAATGAAGTTTGAAGCAACTAATTTTAACTTGTGGCACTAACAACAGAAAGGGGGGGGGGGAAAAAAAAAAGACATTATACATTGCAGGCTTTTATAAAGCTTTTTATTGAAAATAGTGAGATATAAATATATGTATTAAAAAAAAGACTTGCAACTACAATATCACATTAAATAAGTTCAGTCTTCAAAGGAGGAAATAAAAAATGTTTTAGTGGACTTCCTGCAGCTGAGCAGGTGGCTTGACAGGCGGAGAGTCGTTACTACTTGAAGTAGAAGGCGAAGCCATAGAAGTAGATGTATTTTCAGAAGAAAGGGAAGATGACAAGTTTTGAATGTGAAGAAGGGTAAGGATGGCCCTAAGGTTCTCTCGCACATCCTGTTGGCCAGCTACTTGAATAATGTTACAGATCGTAGCATATCCATGACGAGCTGCACGATGTGGAAGACCACCAATTGTTTGGAGAGCTTGCATTACTTTCTCGGCTGTAAAGGAAGTAGTATTATAAGTAAAAGTATGCAGGTTAAAACTAATTAAAAAAAATAAGTAAATAAAGACAATTTTACTGAAGCAAAGTTGTTACCTCTAGGGAAACCTAGCGGTTCTCCAGGGGGCAGAATAAAGTCCAAGATTCTGTCTACAGTTGATGATAAGTTGTCGACTCCGCCAATTATGGCATGACCAACATTTGTATGCAAGAACTGATTAGCAGTTATCCAACTAAGCTCTTGCAAAGATTTGACTTGTTGGCAGGCGGGGTCATACAGAGATTTAGCGTTTTCTGCAATCTATAGAACGAAATTTTTAATGTTTTGTTAAGTATCACTAAAGGAAATTTAGCCCATGAACTTTCATATTACCTGAGCTGGTTCTTGTTTAATGCAAGGGACCGCATTTTCAACGACATCTAATCCTTTGCACAAAGTTTTATCCACCATGCCTATTGGAGTCTCCAATTTCTTAACGATAGGTGCCACAACAGGAAGAGTCTGCTCCACCGCCTTGTTGACAGTCGCCTCAGCAGTATCCAAGGTCCACGTCAGAACAGGACTGTATCCCTTAACGTTGTTGTAGATTGCAGTAGATTGATTCCACGCAGCTTCCACAATAGGTAACCGTTTGACGCGGTCCACGCATTCGATGTTCGGCAACGCAGGAGGCTCGCAGGGGCAGGTCTGTTCTGGCTGAGGTTCTGCTGCCGCAGCAGGGACATCTTCAGATGGTGTCTTCATGACAAAACACTAAATCCGCTCAAACAGGAATTCACAACTGAAATCGGATTTAAAAACAATAGCAATTACGCCGGGTAACACAAACGAAATATCACTACATAGATCTACACTACGCATCGACTACTCAACTCACCAAGTCGCTTCCTCACGTCTGAATGACGCAACGGATCAAGCGCCGGCCTTTTAAAGGCCAAGCCATGCGTGGCTCTCCAACTCGTCGGCTGATACTCGCATCGCGTAGACACGGGAAGCAGCCAATCACGAAAGCTCACGCGGGCTTGCGTCACCCGGCGCGACGTCACGCGCTCGCTGATCGCCCATCCGTTCCGCCTGCGCGGGGGGAGGGGGGGGGGGCCGGACGCGCCTCTGCTCGGGGCAAAGGGCGAAATTGAAACGCGCGCGAACGCGGACGTCCAGAACAGTCCAGACCAGAGTCCGCCCGCCCGCCAGGGAGCACCGCACGCACGAGACGGAAACGTGCGCGTTGGGGTCGTCTCCAACTGCAATGATTCGGCCTGCGAGTGTTTTTCGAGCTCGTTTTGTGACCCAGTAAACCAGCTTCCAATGATGTATTCAATTAGGTGACAGTGATATTTCTTCATGAACTAATTGTAAGGAACAACGTAACAGTGTAAGGGGGTTAGATAAGTTAATTACTGTTAACACAGAAATTTTAATGAGTTGTAATTGCCCAAAACCGGGAGAACCTTTTTTTGTAGCCCCCCCCCCTCCCAGATAAGTTTGTTTACTCTAGTTCATTATAATTTGCAGTTAGAATTGTCTTTCTCGACAATCAAATATTACGAGAAATAAAAATATAATATTACATTTAAATTACTGTATTATCAAATTAATTTGCACACACATAATCAGTAGTTGTTGGTTTGTTTGGTGTTTCTTGCCGAAATCCAAACAAAAATAGAGATGACTTTTTTAAAAATACTAAAACTGTCATAATAAAAATCAGTCAATATTAAAGTTGTTTTGTTGGAATTGTCTTTGGGGTAAATTGTGATACAGAAATAAATTAAACTACGAGTTATAAATCGACAATACCTCCTTTTACTGAGCTTACTTCAGGAATGTCCATCTTAACAATTCATTCATTGCAGACATGACTACGTACCCTTGGACTAATGACCATTATACCCCTTCACATTACATATAAGTTAATTGTTCGAATTGTGTTCCGTATTGACGTACTATTATTGGAGAGTATGAAAATAGAACGTTAATTGTTTCTCCCCTCGAATCTGCCATCATAGAACCGCACGATACGTGCATCCCACAGGGGCTGAGACTTGATTATCGGAGTGGGTGCAGGTTACTTTTTCTATAGGGGTGAATCAGCATTTTAATGCTGATTCCATTTTTATACCCCAGTCCCAGGTTATTAGTCCTGACGGATGGGATGAAATTATGATGAATGTTTAAATACCCAACACAACCATGCCGAAGGCGGCACTCGAACTCGTGATCTTCTGGTCCGAGATCGACGGCACTACTGCCTTAGGGACCATCCATAAATTACGTAACACAAATTTGAAGTATTTTTAAAAAATCCCTCCTCCTTGTAACGCACCCGTAATGTCCGATTGAACTCACGTAAATAATTACGTAACGCTTGGGACATCCCCCACCTTGTAAATGCAAGAAGTGAAAATAAAATATAGCTCAGTAAAAAATTGTATTAATTGTGTGAATTAAAAGTAATGATAATTATCGGAATTAGTTGTCGATGCTGACTGCACCTAACAATAAGATTGGATGCAAATTTTGAGTGAAGGAAGGACGCACAAGCGAGAAAATTTCTGATCACAAGCAGTGGACACGCCGCTCGCCGTTGTGAACGGTACATGGGCGAGAGTCTTCTGCACAAATTTAATTGTATTCTACAAAATTCTGCTAATCAGTTTTTAACATTTTCTTCGTAATCTTGAAGATTCAATATAAAATTGTTAGAAAGAAATATTTCCATTTATTGTAACAATTTCTAATAACTTTAAATGATTAATGTTTTAAAACAAATTAATTAGATAATATTTTAATGTTTTAGTATAAGACTCAAAAAACATTTCAACAAAAATTAAAAAGTAAAAAAAAAATATAAATGTGACGTAACATTAATCGAATACTCCCTGCCCCTAAGTAATGCAGCGTTACGATGCCTTAAACCCCCTCCCCCTCTCTTTAGCATTTCGTAATTTATAGACGACCCCTTAGCGATCTCGGCCATTGGATTTTTGTCCACGCTGAGCAATTTCATGTTAAGTCCATTTTTACACCCCAGGTGTGTCAGCCCAGGGAAATAAGGTATGGAAATGACGCTATTGGTGATTATGAACGATGAAATGGACAATCACAAACACACGCAAGCACCGCCATGCCCGAGGCGGGGCTCAACCCACGATCCTTGGGTCCAAGACTGCCATGGCACTACTGCCTTAACGATCTTGGCTACCCGGATCGGCATTATCATAAGTTTTATTAAACACCATTGGTAACTGACCTTATAGAAAAGGTAATGACACCTCACAAAAAATATAGGAATACATTTTCTTATTCAACATAGTTATTATTACTAAATGCGTTTGATAAAATATTAACGTAACCAAAAACATGTACATTAATCAAATGTCTCTTTTCTAAAAGCCAATTATGCTATGGTGAAGTATTTGTTTGAATTGAAGTGCTTGGAATTTGATAGTCTTAGGCTACATTTTGCCAATACTCGACAATATTACCGTTGATTTTGACAACAAACGGCAGGGAAGTTTATTATAGTTATGGGCAAATAGTACACAAGATTAGTTACAAACACATTTTCCCTTATAACTTAAGTTCAGTCAGATGTAAAAGTTTATCTGCTTCTGAGCCTTTCGATTATTCCAATTATAGTGAGTAATAATTATGACACAATGACATACGCTGATGAGATATTAAACAGTTTATCCTTTTAAGAAATATTTTCCACATCACATTTTGAAAAGAGAAGGTAATAGTAAATTATCGTGAATAATTTCTGTAAAATAAAGTGTTTGTGATAAAAGATTGATTGAATATCACAATACTCTCATTGAAGTCTGAAATCAGGACTTTACAGTACAAAGTTGTGAAGAGGAGCATAGCTAGGCTGGTGCCAGAGAGTAAAACAATGGCTGGTGCAACGGATGAGCAGCACTTAGCCCCCGAAGTAAAGGGATCCAATTGAGACCCCTCGCGGGTCCCTAATAAAGAAGCGAATCCTTTTAGGGTTTTCGTAACTGAATATTTGATTAAGATAATTCGTAATTATTGCTGTAACTGCATGTGATATATTTTTTTAGAAACGCGCCAATGAATTTAGTGTATTATCAAGTGGAGCCGTGATTGGAAGGCCAGCAAGGCTAGTAGTCTCCATAAGAAGATGGTCAACTTCTACAACCTGCAAAACTAAAAAAATGTACTGAAAAGAGAAAGTTACAATAATCAGAATTATAACAGGACTCACGAGACTATGTCACCTTCACCTTATTAATAATAATACTCCCCCAATTTTCAATACATGCAATAAGCAAGTAATATTACACATTATTCAAGAATGTCCTATACACAACCAATCCCGCCAATCACTTACAGAACTTCAATATGACACATTGTTTCAATCAAGCACCCTACAAGAAAAAAAAAACTTTTGTAAATTAATATATTTAACGAACTGTATACTGCATTTGAATGAATGTACTGCATGTATTATCGTGACATGTACTAACCTATTCTCAACCACTGGTGGGGCAATAGGTCGATGATGGGGGCTTTCAAAAGGCATCAGCAGCTTCATGTGTGTCTACGCACTTGGCGGTTTGTATCGCGACTCGACCGATCGCATCCTGAAAACGAATTTGTAAAATTTTCGTTCGTAAACCACACGAGTAAATTAGCAACAGTACCCAGCGAATAAATTAACGAAAGTTTTACTTGATATTCGTTAGTACTGCTTTGTTGTCAAGATCACATCTCCAAGTTTCACAAATTCTTCTTCCCAATAATAATAATAATAATAATAATAATAATAATAATAATAATAATAATAATAATAATAATAAATGATAATATATAGTAGTAACATTTTAAGAGGGGGGACAAGCTGTATATTTACGTCTGGAGAACAAATTCTAGGACCATTCCGGCATACGCCTTAAGCGATTGTATAAACCCAGAAAACCTCAATCAGGATGGCAGCTTAGGGTCTGAACATTAATAGAACTGAGTATGTATACTGAGTAGTGGAAAGGGAAGTTTCGTGAAAGAGAAAGAAAAGACGTACACGGGAGAAGGTCAAAGTATAAATGATAAAATTTGTGAGGAGAGGAGGGAAAAAACGAAGAAAAGAACGAAGAAGAAGTAGCGCGAAAAAAGTGAAAGTTATTTAGAACGTTACAGAAAGCTACGTTTAGTTTACAGTAGCACTTACATAAAATATACAATAATTTTTTACACAGAGAAGTAACAATACACTATAAGCTAATAACACAGTAATTTTAAACCACAATACTTTAGCAGTATTAAGGAACAATACAAAGAGTGCGGGTATCTTAACATCATTTTTCTATTATGCCAATATATTGTAGTGAATATCTGATGATCTGTACAAAGATAGTATACAAGTATACTTTATGTGGAACGTCACTAATATTTTATTTTGTATATTTTGGTTTATTTGTATATTATAACATTTCATTAGGGTACACAGAAAAATATAATAATGCTCATAATTTAGTGTTGAGAGGAATGGAAGATGAGGATAGAGCAGAGGTATGTAGAATATTGAGAATAAAGAGGGGAAATAGAGGTGTTTAACGGGGGCGGTGACCGGGCGCTTGGAAATGGAGAAGTCTGGAGATTGAAGAACACATTAACGCCGTTCTATATTCGTTATTCCTTACCCATGTGGTTAATTCAACTTTGAATTTGCCGAAGGATTAAATGTTTTAGTCTCGCTGGTAATTTATTCCAGGCTCGCATAGCTGTAATGGTGAATGATTTACTGAATGAAGGCGTGTTGGACGTGGTACACAAAAGCAGCTGATTCACGAGGCTCGATATAGTTCAGAGGATTAAGTTACTTTTGAGGCCTGTTGCATGAGAACTCGTTAAAAACTTTATAAAGAAGAAGTAAAGAGTGGAGTAACCGTCTTTTGTCTAGATAAGCATACGAATTCTGTCAAAAATTCGGATACATGTCGTATTTTCTTAGATCAAAAATAAAACGTACGCATACGTTCTGGCTTACTTGAAGTTTACGCTTTAATTTGAATGTCATGTTGTCAGAAGAAAGTCGCAATAGTCGAAATGGGCATGTAAGTGATTGGATGAGAGTCCACTGTGCTAACCTGGTAACAGTGCTCGAGCGTTTCAATGAGTGCATTGAAGCCAAAAAACTTTACAGCAGGTTGAATCTACGGTGCGAGTTCTCAGCTGAGAGTGTGTCGATAACTACACCTAGTTTTTGACTTTCAGAACACCAAGGTAAATGTGTCATTTATATAAAATTAGCAAAGGAGAAGAAGAAGATTTGTTATTCACCCCCCCTTATGTGCATTTCGAGCGATAACCATGCACTTTATTGTTTTTTAATTGTAAGCCTAAAGACGCTGCCCAGTTGTTTACCGCTATTAAATCTTCATTAAATTTTTTGTACGCGTGAAGAGAGGTGAGACGGGTGACCACTTAGATATATCTGGAATCATCCCGCATACATTTGATGACTCCAATATTAGTGCATTTCCACGTCATTTACATAGATTAAGAAGGCAGTGCCTTAACACAGTGCCTTGAGCAACTCCGCGATAAGCTTCAAGTCCCTTGACTACGGCTACCGGACCACCCTTTGGTTCTGGAATATTAAATATATTAAGAAACCATTTACCGTGGGCTGTGCAAATCCCATGATCTTTA